TGCTTATAAATTAATCAAAATATGTGTTTTCAATTGTGTATAATTGATGTTCCTTGTTCACTAAAATAGAAGGACGATAGTCGAATTCTTATTCATGAGCACGAGGACAAATATTTTACCAATACAACTATAAAATCATCGGTCACACATTATATTTGATCAAATTATTGAAGAAAACAAAATAAAATCATTATTTAGATATTCAATTGTTAACCATTTGTACTGTAAATTTATACATTATTGAAAATCATCTACTAAAAAATGGACATTTGAATTCAAATAAATTGCATTTTTGTGTCCTGCAAGTGCCCTTTTGATATGTGCCTGTGAGTTAGGCCAGTTGATCAAGGAAGTGTGTTCGTCTCTTTATACCCAAGTTTAGTCAGCCTCTTCCTATATTAGAGTAATTTTCTAATAATTATTTTATGTTAATGATTAGTTACATACTTCTAATATTGGCCGTTGGATTATATTAATTAAATGTGTTGTTAGTCTCTTAGATACAATCCAATATACGAGATTAAAAGTATATAACTAATCCTTAAATATTTATCGGAGAATCCACCTCGATTTGATATGATCTTATTTGTTAATACAAGGGTGCAATAGGAAATTCCACAAAGCAATTATGCCATAATTGAAAAACCACCAAACACATAGGGATTCTGTGGTTGGTGACGACTCTGCCATCTCACCCTTACTTACCCCATATTTACAATTAAATTTTTCTAAGCGCCTCACCAACCCACCACTCTCCCTACTTTTCTGATTCAAATCAAATCCCCGAAGTCTCTGTGAATCCAAGCTGCACAAGCTTTGATCAGTTTCAAAGTCTTTGAAGAGAGAAAGAGACCATCCTCTAACAATGGCCGGAGGCAACAAGGTCTACACTTTAGCTGAGGTCTCTGCTCACAGTGACCGCAAAGACTGCTGGCTCCTCATTGATGGCAAGGTCTGTTATACTTTCTATGCTCCAATTCTCAGTTTAATTTGGTCATGTCATCATATCCAATCATGGGTTGTGTATAAATTGCCTTATTTTCTGTGATTAAACATGTCATTGGTGTCATGCAAGGTTAAGGTTAATTGGGATTGCTCTGATTGGATCTAGGTAGATTATAAATTGTTTGATTGTGGATTTTACTGCTATCCTATTGGTTTATAATTTGATTGCATGTACTGGTTCTGAGATGAGTTATGCTTGTTTATCCTTGAATTCAGCAAGTTGTGATTTCTGTTGTCAAATTTCATTAGATAATTAGATCAGGAAGATATGGGATGGGACCTAACAATGTATAGTTGAGATTGCTTTAGAAACAGAGGGAAAAAAAAGTATGGGTGTTTGATCAGATTGGTATGAATCAGTTGATGATACATGTCATGGAACTTATAGAAGCTTCAGCAGCTGGTTTTGATTGCATTTCTTGGTTGAAAATGTGATAGCTTGTGCTTATACTACACATTGGTGTCTTTCTAATATAGGTGATAGTTTGTGAGGCTGTAAAGATAGTTCCTATGTCTAATATACCTCTTAGGTTATGATTTTAAAGATAGTTTATGTAAATCATGCGTCACTTTGTGCTTACTGACCAATCCTTTGGACTAGGCAGAATAATTGTAAACTGTAATGTGAGAAAATGTATTGGAACAGGTATATGATGTAACGAAGTTCTTGGAGGACCATCCTGGCGGTGATGAGGTCTTATTGGCAGCCACAGGTTTGACACAATGGCAATCTCTTTCAAACACAAAATATATGCGGAAACCTGTTGTTGCCCCTGATGTGATTATGGTCCTAATATGATCCATGATTTGCAGGAAAGGATGCAAGTAATGATTTTGAAGATGTTGGCCACAGCAGCACTGCTAGAGCAATGATGGATGAATTTTATGTCGGAGACATTGATTCATCATCCATCCCGACAAAGAGGGCGTACACTCCTCCCAAGCAGCCTTACTACAACCAGGACAAGACAACTGATTTCATCATCAAAATCCTCCAGTTCCTCGTTCCCCTGCTAATTTTGGGTTTGGCTTTTGGTGTCCGCTTCTATACCAAAACTTCAACAGCGTAAACGTTGAAGCCGAAAGAGAAGTGAGAAATCTTCCCAATAAATTTATGTTAGCGTTGAAATTGGAAGACCCTTTGGTAATTTTTGTGTTTGGAACTGTTCATGATCATGGGATGTTAGGATATTTGAGTTGTTTCTGGTTTTGAGTTTATGTCTGGTTCTTTCTGGTTTGCAGTTAGCATCCGTATACTTTGGTGATTTCACAAACTTGGACTTCATGAGCTGATTTGCTCTTACATTGTATGGTCCCCTGGCTTAGGGTTCAGCTTGTAAGATCACCACTCTTTTTCACCATTTTTATTTTCATTTGTCACTGAGAAGCTTACGTCGGCTCATTCCATGGCATGGGCTTAGGTTCCATACCTTGGAGCAGTTGCAATGTGCCCGTGTTGTTGGTGGTATAAGTACAACAATAATGTGGCCTTGGGTCTAAACTCATTTATACGACATGTCGTTGGGCTGATAGGATGGCTTGATTCAGAGCTGCCATTTACACAGGATTTTATCACTACACCCAAACTTGTTTTGCCTTCGCGTATTTCTACTTTTTCGTATTTTTTAAAATTATAGGATTGATATTGGGAGGGGGATTCGAAGACAAAATCTTAGCGCAAGAGTAACTGCTCTTAACTACTTGAGCTTAGCTTCTTGCCCCATATTTCCACTTTTATCATAACAAAAAAATTAAAAATTTAAAAAATTAAAAAGAAAAGAAATCATGGTAGCCCATGGTCGACCATGGCCTCCATCTCCAAAACGGAGGCTAGTGTTGGCATCCATCTTGATAACAACTAGCCTTCCATTTCCATTGTGAGCTTTGAAGCCAACCATGACTTCTCTCTCTATCTCTCTCTTTTTCTTGAACAATGGGTGAGTATCAAATTGAAAATAGAGCAAATTTTTGGTGCTTGAGTGTCATGATCAAATTCTTGTATGCATAACCCTCTTAGGTTTATTAATGATTTATCCATTTTTGGATAATTTCTATTGGGTTTAGGGGCAATTTTGGATAATCTATTGATAAAATACAAATTTATAAATAAACCCAATCCAGCAGCAAAAGCCAGCACGAAAAACAAGGAAGAGGACAGACAACTTTGATCAAATGCAACTGTGGGAAATGAGAATTGCTCATAAACTTCACAAAAATATTTAAACCAAAATAATAGAGATTTACGATGTGCGTGAATCACATTTTCCTCAGTGTCAACGGCCGGCGGAAATCCCAAGGCCCTCCGTTTGGCTCATTACAGCTAATATTGTTGTTAATTAATTATGTTTTATGTAACACAGGCGATCCTGATGTTGCCACACACACTCAAATTCGTCCAATCCAATGCCATTGACGCTGCTTTACTTACTAAGCACCACTCATGCTTGGATAAAAAAAAATTTAGCACAACAATGTTAGATTCGCTAACCATTTATCCTAATTTTTGTAACTAATGTGCTAATTTCTTATTTGACCTGAATAAATCTAAAATAGATCCGGACATAAATAAATGAAACACTACCTCATCAGTTGAGATCTAAAAAGTTATTATAATAAGTCGACGCCTCTAGAACTACTCTCTCGAGCACCACCACATAGACGGTCACATTGTCATATTGCATAACAAATGAGTATATTGAATGCCAACATATAGTGTTGTTATTAGATAAGAGCCTATCACCAAGCAAAATACAGTGTGACAAACATACAAAAAATCTACTAAATTGTGATTACAGAGTCTATCTGGACAAAGGAATTCACATTCTTCCAGCCAATCTTTCATGCCATCCAAAGATTCTTCATAAGTTTTACCACCAAACTTTATCATCTAGTGAGTTGAGGAGGCCTATAAGAAGAAAACTTGAGCAGCCTGGTAGTTTCTCTTGCTTGAGTTTTTCTCTTAGCCCTGTTTGCCAAGAGAGCATTGACATCAAATAGTGGCAATGGGAAGCATAACAAGGGAGGAAGAAGGTGTGCTCAAGTTGGTGCGTCCGGGGAGGTGTGTGGAGGTTCACAAGGAACCAATAACAGCTCAAGAGGTAATGAGAAAGTACCCCAGGCACTCCATAACTAGGCCAGACATCTTTGAGTTCCCATGGATTGTGGTTAAGGCTGAAGCAGTTTTGACTCCTGGAAAAGTGTTTTTTGTAGTTCCTAACCGCACGATTTATCAGCTGCTTAAAGCCCGAGAGCACGGTGACCAATCTTCTTCTTCTTCTTCCTCACAGCAGAGACAATCTGCTAAAGATCATGGTCACCATCCAGCATCAGAACAACTAACTTCCCTACCAAAGGCATATGCTGGCGTGACACCGAAGCATCAAGTGCAGAGACGAAGGCTTAAGCATCAGTTCTTTGCTTGTGCTACTGTAAGCCCTAGTGATGAAGAAGTTGACCCGGACAAAGGGCTCCAAACAGATTCCCAGGTTGGAGCTTGGCCAGGGTTGTCTTCCACAAACAAGAAAACTCACGGAAAATCTAAACAGAAGCCACAGATAAATTCAAAAAATAAAACTAGACATGGTAGAGCATATGACTACAGCAAGAAGAATAACATTACTGCCGAACTTGCTGGTCTTGAGATTACAGACAGTAAACAGGTCACCTTGTTGAAATCTTGTTTAAGAAAACCCGATAGTGCTCGTAATTCTCTTCGTCTTAAGGTAGCTTTTACCTTGCCAAACAAGCACGAGGAGCGAGTCGAGCGACAGAGCAAGATCACTCATTCTTGGATGCAATATCCAGACTACTCAAGTTGATTACTCTGACAGGCATTCTTTAAACTGTGTTTTTGTATGTTGACTGTGCACCAATGTTGTGTTACCTTACTAGATCAGATATATAAATTATAGTTTGATTTGTTTGTTCTAAATATCCAGTATAAACTTCATGTCAATCAGAAACCAATATAATGATTTAAAGTTTAAACAAATGTCAAAACTGTACTCACCCAAATTACAATCAAGAAGCTTTCCCTGCTATTGCTAACTCAAAGCACCAAATCTTATTTACAAGGTGGCCAAAAGAGGCATATTGAAGTAAAAAATGTCATAACAATTGAGCATGGCTTGCACTTACTCAACAAAGCATAAAAGTTTGGTTTCCCTGGTAATGTGGATTACCTAATCTGTGCTTGCACACGTTCTCTCAATCACTTTAGAATCAGTTCTATACGACTGCCTCGATGGAGAAGTGGATGCCCTTGAAGAACTATGTCCAAAGAAGCTCAGCTTGCCAATTTTCTTAGAGAAAGAACTCATAAATTTACGAGAATTGGACTTCTCCATGTCTCTCTTCATACAGACATGTTCTCTCTCAAGATCATTTAGTCTCATCCGTAACCGAGCTAGCTCAAGTTTTAGCTCACGGTTTTCTCTCCTCAATGATGCATAGTTGTCCCGCGGAGACATTGCTGCACTGAGTGCACCACTGCTGATCCGCCATGACTGGTGCATTGGCTTGGGTTCATCTTCACCTGAGCAGCCCAAGGAATTTCTGAGCCTTATTTGCTCAAAATAAAGCACTTGTACTATTGACTGCAGAGGGAGGCGCTCATTCTGTGCAGCGTGTGCACCAGCTTCTTGTGAGAGCTTTTGGAAATCAATCATTTTGCACAGCTTCTTCTTGTCTGTATCTGATAAGCCTTGATGGGCCTGTCACAAGCCAATGTTATGACAAGGGAACTAAAATTGTCTTCTTAATGACCTGAGTTATAAACTAGAAAAACAAGAAAATCAAGATTGTTTTTTTCTCGGAAATTGTTCAGATTTTACTTTTCATGTTCATTCTAGCAAGAGAGTGGTCAGGCAAGTCTTTGTTTTTCCCGAAGGGAACCAACAATTATCTACTCTATGCAACTGAAAATGTCTTCATTAACAAGTAAATTAGATTCACACCATTCCCACAGAAAAGATAAGAAAGACATACTTTTAAGTAAATATCAATGGCTCGATATAACCCATCATGAACCGTTCGTGCATGCTCGGGCAAAGCATCAGCAATGACTAGGAATTTAGCAAGCTTGAGGTTTGCATCAGGGGCTATTTCAGCAAGGTAATTGTCCAACAACTTTGAAACTTTAAACAAAGCAGTTTGGGACGGCGAATGAGGACTGTCTGATTCAAAGACAGAGCCATCTTCCATATCTTCTTCACTGTCGTCTTGCTGAGAAAAGTTAACTAAAATCCTATGCACTGTATCCACATCAAATAAAGTATCACCTGCGTGCTTGAAAGAAGGGATCAGAAGATCATCAAGAGTGGCAATATCCAACTGGGAGCCAATCCTCCTCTCCAGATCAAGTCTGCAAGCAATTGTGCAATCAAGCATTACAGCACTTCGCAAAAGCCCGAATAGGAAAGTAATCGGAACAACAAGTTTCTCAACGGGCAGAAGGCCGACAATTGTCTCAACCACAAGTTTTTCGTGTCCAGTTGAAGCTGGAATTACATCAACTTTTGTCTGGCCAGATGGGTTCCATAAGCTGGACTTCTTTGTCAACTCCTTCTGGGCATAGTTCACAAGAGATGCACCGATACTCTCAGGGCGAACTCCACGACACTTCATGGCTGTTATGACTCTTTGGTACAAGTCGACTCGAAGAACAGAAAGATCTTCTATCCACCAGTCCCCATCACACTTGGCTTGCCTGTTCATGTGAAGCCTCCCTGAGCTGCTGTACTCCAACCGCGAGAAGCTTGAAGCAATTTGCTCTACACAAGCCTTTGAGGCTATTGCATCAATGCAGCGGCTAACTATCTTCAGCTCATCAGCCAGAGGGAGTAAACTCTCACATTGCAGCAAAACTTCAACACACATTTCAAGGTTCTTGCAGACAATGCATTCAAGATATTCTTCAGCACGTGAACCAAGATTGTCTTTTGAGAACTCTTCAGTCATTTCAAGGTAATCAGAAGCACAGCAAAGCTGAGCAACATTTCCAGAAGTGATTTCAAAGTTGATACCATAACAGAACTTTGCTGCCAACTCAAATGACTCAGCACCTCCTGGTAGATGAAGAAGCTCTACTCTTGAGATATCAGAATCCCTATGTTCAGCGACTAACTTTCGGATTCGTCCACTTCGAGAAACAAGAGGAAACTGCATTCAAAAACAACATTGTCAAAACTCCATCAAGACAGTCAAAATACAAGTCATGTATAGCATGCTTTGATCACTGCATTAAAAGTTTATAGAGAGAGTCAGAGAGATCTGTTGGAAGAGCCATTTTTGAAGAATCGAAAAGTAAATGTAAATAGAACAACACAAATAGTTACCTTGTGTAGTGAGAAAGCCCCTCCATTCACTTGTATTGTAATATCACTGGGAACATCCCGGAAAATCCTACAAAATATAAACAGCCACACACTCATACAACAAACGATTGCAGCTATTTGAAAACAAAAAAGGTTCTCTTTATAGAATACATATCAACAAAACAATCACCAAAGCTTCCATCTTTTATTTTTCGATAATTAACACAACAAAGCACAAAAAAGATATCAAACACAAAACTGAAAGTATCACTCAGGCAATACAGTAAGAACAAGATTACAAGTATTCAAGTGAATTACAGCATCAAAACACATCAAAAACAAAAAGAAACAAACAAACCATTCATTGTTTCGCTGCTGCCGCGAACTCTTAGCCAAGGAGAGCTGCTGTTGCTGCTTGTCACTGCGGTCCATGGAGAGAAAGAAGGCAACCCAAGAGAGAAAATTAATGGAATGTCAAGGCAAAGAAAAGAAAATGGTATTAGTGGGGTTAAGGGAGAGAACTGGGAAGAGAGACTGGAACCCAGTTGGAGATGTTGCTGTTGGTGAACTTCTTTGGCCATTTTTTTTTCTTTTGTCAAACAGGTGGTGTTCAAACACAGATTGCAATTGTCCAAAGCAATGGGCCTCTTTGGTGGGTCATGCTTTTCTGCTTTTTTTTTTGGGTTTTAGTAGCACACTCAAAATCTTGCATAATCTCTTCCTGTTTTTTCTGATCTCTGTTGGATTTAATTTGTTTTTTAAATTAAAGGTGGTGCTGTTTTTCTCTGGTATAAATATTGTAGTGTAGCAAGGGA